TCTCTCTCACACACACACACACATACACACACACACACAAATAGAATCAGCTTCTTCATGTCTCTGATAGCATTCTTCTTTCATCTGTTATCTAGGACATCAGCTAAAGAATTGGACCTTTCTTATTGCCCCTAGCTACCGTAACTTTAGTGCTTCATGTATCATCACCACCATTTTCTGCAAACATCTTCCATGCCACATGCCCATTTCCTAGCTTTCTTCAAAGACTTTTTGCTGTCAGGAAAGTGATGGAGAAATGTTCCAAAAAATGTGAAATAAATGACTGATTAACAGCAAGACATATAACTTCCATGCAAGCAAAGTAGGGTGAATGCTCAATGAAAAGCAAACACCATATAACCTCTGCATAAGCTTTGTGCAAGCTTTGTGCCACTCACATGAAACTAAACATGCTTCCAGACAGGGGTTTATTGTAGGATTGGTGCTTTTGACACAGGCAGGGTTGTTTGTTTGTTTGTTTGTTTGTTTGTTTGTTTGTTTGTTTGTTGCTGCTGTTTGCAGAATCCACATGGCATAGCTGTCATCAAACTTGTTCATGCATGCAAGCTTTTCCTAGCATCCGTACACCATGCCAGCCCATATTTCCAGGGTCTACCTATTTATCTAATTTATCCTTTATATGGAAAATTTGTTAAGCAAAAAACCCCCCAAAAAACCACCCCATTGTCTCTTAAAAAAAATCCCAAGAGGGAATACATTACCAAAATAGAGGACACCAATTTGCATATGCTGATTTGTATGTATTGATACCTATTTAGAGGTGGGAAATGCTATAAATTAGAAATACATCACCCCACAGGGGGTAAGATGACCATTTTCAGGTGACCTGTGTGTCTGGCTTAGTCTGCCGTCCAGAGGACAGACCTGTATTTGAAGAAGTCCTCTGAAGGCTTTCTGGTCTAAGTGCAATACTGTACGAAGAAGCATAATAAGGAAGAGCAGAACCCCGGAAATTGCTTGTCAATTGCAGACTGAGCTGACAGATCACCTGCTCACAGTCTTCCTCACTATGGTGAGATCTTTCATATTTCTATTAAAATTATAGGGCGATATCCAACATTGCTGTTGAAATAGACTTCTGCTTGTGCACTGGAACTTCCCTTCCTCCCCACCCCACCCCACCCCCACCCCCACCCCCACCCCCGCAGCCCTTCCCTCAAAGTCTGCTCCAAAGGGCTGGGCTTGAGATGTCCCTGATTTTCCTTTGCAATAGGTGTGATTGCCAAGAAAGCTGGAGCCCTGGCACACCTTGCAGTAGAAACCAAGCACTGCCTAGCTTGCAGCCCATCCCTTTAATAGAAGGTAATCTTCACAGTACAGTCAGATGCACGTTTACACAGTCTTCTCTGCAAAACAGTCGGACTTACAGCTAAATAAAGATGTATTAGAGTACACTGTTAGTCAAGTGCAACTGATTAATGACTGAAATACCTATTCCCATGGAAGTAATTTAAATTGCATTGTGCTCCTCAGGTTTAGATGGTCCTAATTGTATACTAACAGGCAGCCACCAAGATCCATCTTGTGCCAAAACCAATGAATGTCATTAGAATAAGGTAACACTCTGAAGAGTAGGTTGTCCCAACCAAGAAAGGCCTTCAGTTTCCATTAAACTATCTGCCATCTAGCTAGATGTTCATATATTCATCTCACATCACTTTTATTTTCTCCTTAACCTGCCTTCAAAGAGATTGTAACAATGGCCAAGAGATTATTCTGTGCTGATAAGCAATTTCTCAAGCACACTTCTGACCTCTAAAGAACATGACTCAATGTTTAAAATGTGTATATGTTAGTTTTAGATCTAGGCTTGGAATCAGGAAATTGATGCTGAGCACACAGTGTAGGTAAGAATAAACACAAACCTACCAGAACATAAGGGGACGCGGGTGGCGCTGTGGGTAAAAGCCTCAGCGCCTAGGGCTTGCCGATCGAAAGGTCGGCGGTTCGAATCCCCGTGGCGGGGTGCGCTCCCGTTGTTCGGTCCCAGCGCCTGCCAACCTAGCAGTTTGAAAGCACCCCCGGGTACAAGTAGATAAATAGGGACCGCTTACTAGCGGGGAGGTAAATGGCGTTTCCGTGTGCGGCTCTGGCTCGCCAGAGCAGCGATGTCACGCTGGCCACGTGACCCGGAAGTGTCTCCGGACAGCGCTGGCCCCCGGCCTCTTGAGTGAGATGGGCGCACAACCCCAGAGTCTGGCAAGACTGGCCCGTACGGGCAGGGGTACCTTTACCTTTACCTTACCAGAACATAATCTGGGGTTCCCAGAAATGTTTTCGGTTGTTTAATGAGGGAGGGGGAACTGCTTTATAACATTAAAACAAGTTCTAAATGCCTAGTCCCTTTGCTTTCATTTCATTTCAGGATTAGGTAAAAGGTAAGGTAAAGGACCCCTGGACAGTTAAGTCCAGCCAAAGGCGACTAAGGGGTTGCTGAGGGAGCCACCATTTGTCCACAGATAGCTTTCCATTTTAGGATTAGGTTGACTTCTTATGACCTGTCTATTGGTGGCTAGCAGTTAGCTGTTATTCAGTTACATAAGTTTGGTCTGAGCAAACCTGGGTTCTTTTAAATACTGACAGAGGGGATTGTAAAATTAGACTTCTGATTGGCTCACTGGGTGGAAATTCTTGGTCACTCATCGGATGGGAGAAGTGGTCTGAGGAGGAATTCTACATCACTCAGATCTAATTGGTTGAAAGGCTGGCTGGAGCATAAATAGATCTATTCTACTAGTGCTGGGAGAGATGAAGAAGAGGAAGACAAGAACACAGAAAACAGAGTGAGACTGGATGAAGAGCTTGAAGGCTAGAGCCTGAAGCAAAAGCAAGACAGCAGTATAGTCTGTCCCAAAAGAGCACGATCACTGGCTTAAACTGCAGGTGGGCAATGGGGTCATGTAAGGGCATTGAGCAGTGTTGAGAATTCAATAAGGATCTTCTGAAGCTGACTATACCAACCTGCCTTGCAATAAGATCTAAAGTTGGAGCCCCTTCTTGTTATCCTGGCATTAGGGTTTTCTCTCTCTCTCACTCTCTAAAACATCTTTATTGGTTTTTCAGTTAATTTACAACCATTCTTTTCATACACGTCAACATTCACAATGAATAATTGAAATCCCTCGACATTCCACCATTGAACATGTATGCATAAACAAAAAGGAAAATAAAAATTGTGTTACTTTTCTACTTATTGTGTTTTTACTTAGTTTGCACCGGACTTCTTTCCACCTTTTACTTGGGTCCTTAGAATTCTATGTTCTATGCCTTTCCAAATTTAACTTCTATTAACCATCATTTCCACCGTTTCTATTAGTTGTTTTTACGAGTCATTCTAGCCCAGTCAAAATTGCCACATGATCATATAATGATCTTCTTGCCACATGATTCATGAACTCTTTGTGAACTCTCACCTTACCATAGTTTAGGTATGCATGTCACCCGAATCCATTGTTGAAACCTTCTATATCTAGCAGATTTGTATTTTCCAAAATTATCCATTCTTTGATCCAAGAAAGGCATGCAGCTTCGTAATACAATTCCAGATTTGGCAGCGTGAAACCGCCTCTTTCTTTTATATCAGTTAATATCTTGAAATTAATTCTATGCCTTTCCCCCTGCCAAATAAACCATAAAATGTCTTTCTGGCAACGTACTCATTTTTATTATGGAAATCCTTCCCCAGAATGATAATTTTAGTCTGTCCCAGATTTCCAAATTCCTTTTAATCTCTTTCCATACTGTGTAATTGTCTTTGAATATATTAATATATTTTTCTGATATCCAAACTCTCATATATATATATATATATATATATATATATATATATGTATGTATAATCTTTATTAAACATATTTCACAAATTATACAATATACTATATTACAATTTATATCACATCTCATATAACAAAGAAATTAAAAAGAATACAAGAAATTTTAAAAAGACCTAGACTTCCGAAAGTTCTCAAAAAGCTAAATTACACTTGTTATATTTTACACAGTGCCATATTATTATATTATTTTCATAAAACATTTTGATAAAGAAATCAAAAAGAAAAAGAAAAGAAAAAATAAATAGAAACATTAAATTTACATATATTATCTGTACATTGCAAGACTCATTCAAGATCTGCCAGGAGGTTTTTGCTATCACAGTAATTTTTCAGATATTCCTTGAATATAATCAATTCTTGATTTACTTTTTGCATTGAATACCCTCCTACCCTCCCTGTCATTTTTGCCATTTGCAGATATTCTAATAATTTAACTTGCCATTCTGATTTTGTAGGTATAGTTTCATTTTTCCAATACATTGCAATTAAAATTCTGGCTGCGGATGTTGCATACATAAAGAGAGGTCTTACTTCTTTTTTTTATTTCAGTTGACATTATCCCTAATAAGAAAAGTTTTGGTCGTTTTGTGAATGCGATTGTTAACATCTTTTTTAGTTTGTTATATATAACATTCCAAAACTTCCTAATTTTTCCACATTCCCACCACATAACAGTATGCATAAATGATCCTCTCCCCTCTTTACACCTCCAAGTGTTGGTGCTGACCTTTAAAGCCCTAAACGGCCTCGGTCCTGTATACCTGAAGGAGAGTCTCCACCCCCATCGTTCAGCCCGGACACAGATCCAGCACCAAGGGCCTTCTGGCGGTTCCCTCATTGCGAGAAGTAAGGTTACAGGGAACCAGACAGAGGGCCTTCTCGGTAGTGGCGCCCACCCTGTGGAACACCCTCCCTTCAGATGTGAAGGAAATAAGTAGCTATCCTATCTTTAAAAGACATCTGAAGGCAGTCCTGTTCAGGGAAGTTTTTAATATTTAACATTGTATTGCTTTAATACTTGATTGGGAGCCGCCCAGAGTGGCTGGGGAAACTCAGCCAGATGGGCGGGGTATAAATAATAAATTATTATTATTATTATTATTATTATTATTATTATTATTATTATTATTATTACCTTGCATGTCCCCATCTAACACCCACTGCAACTTGGTTGCTGAGAAGTTGCTCTAGCCACCAACCTCCCCCCTGAACATGTCAAGGTGCTCTCTGAAGATCCCTCATCATTGTGGAATTTTCCATGTGCTCTATTTCTGCTGTACCAAGACCGCTCCATTCTGAGTCACTTCCCTGGACAGACATAGGAGAGGAAGGCGTTGACCTCATTCTGGACAATTACCTTGCCAGGATGGATGTTACCAGGCAGGTAGTGGCAGGAGGTCATGGCCCAGGCATCAACAATGGCCACTTTCATGCCAGCAAACATGGCACGAAGGATGTTGTCCAGCTGCAGGGAGAGCCAATCACTGCCATAGACAGACTTGAATCCTGTGTTGGCTGATTTGATGACAACGGTGGTCTGGGGGCTGCGGGCCAGGAGCTGAGCCACAGCCTGCCGAATGCCGTGCACCCGCCGCACATATACATCCACTGGGAAGGTGGTGAAATGGGCCCAGAGCGTGAAAACTACCACCATGTCCGGGCCCCCACCAAGTGCATCCAGCTCATTGGCCAAGTAGTGCATGTCAGCCATCTTGGACTTCGCGGTGCGCAGCGGAATGCCGTGGGCACGCCACCTCAGCACAAGGCCCTGTGCTGGCTCCACAGCCAGCAGTGGGCCAGACTTATAGGTCACGTGAAGGTCTATCTGCTTGACTGCTACACAGTGAAAGAGAAAGACAGAGTGTGTGAGAGACTCAAGAGTTAGAGTCCCAAATGGATAGCTCCACACTCCAGTCATTCTTCAAAGGTTCTCATGTGCTCTGATCCATGATTTGCATACCCTTACACATGTGTAACAGTGAGATAGTAGCTTCCCTCACTGTTCTCCTACCCCAAACATTCCTTCTTAGTTCTCTGCCAAAGCCAACCACCCCAGCCAACACAATTCTTACCACTTTCCACACCAACCTCTGTTTCCTTCATTCTGGTTCTGAAGCTCAACCATGCCTTTCTTATACATTTATCCCCACACCAGGACACCTGTCCCCCAAATCAATGCCCTTTCCACACCCAGACAGTGACTTACATGGAATGAAGGCCAGCAGGAATTCCCACCACTGGCGTAGTGTGGAGTCTCCAATCATATGGACTATCTTGCCTCGCAAGCAGCCGAGTGCCAAGTCAGAAGTAGGGAAGGTCCGGCTAGAACATCCCAAGGAAACCCACACATCCTTGTAGTAGAAACCTGAAGGGTTGGTGAGGGCAAGTCCTGGATGGCATGGGAGCGGTGGGGAGGTGGCTACAGGAACACAGGCAAGGGATGGTCACAATGCCATTCTCAAGAATATAAACACAGAGCCAACTGACTTCCCACCCTCTATTTCCACTCACCAACAGTCAGCTGGTGGCTAGGCAGAACTTGGATGATGGGCACACTCCCTGGAATAATCCGGTCTGTAGCAGCTCTGTGTGAACAGAGAGGAATGAAGAACAGGGCAACTTGAGCTGCATCACTGCTGAAGTGTGAGTTTCTTCTTTGAAGCTCATCACGTTGTTAAAGACTATGCTGGGTTCTATTGCTTACTGGTCACACTGGCTCACCTTCAACAGGCAATCTCTCAATCTGTGTTTAATTTAATTTGATTTTCATATTAGTGGATAAAGTGTATGTCCAAAGTCCAGAGGATAATGTTACCACAGATGTGGAGGGGTAGTATTTATGGGTTTCTGTTGGGGCCAAGATTTGATTTTGGTGCTGCATTATTTTTGCTGTTTTTGTGATTTGCAATTGTGATTTTTGCAATTATTATTTTTTTGAAATGTGCTCATGAACATTACTAACATTTTGTTATCTGATCAAATGCTCCTATTGCTGACATTTTTGCTTTCATTAAACCCTCTAGACCAGGCATAGGCAAACTTCGGCCCTCCAGATGTTTGGGACTACAATTCCCATCATCCCTGACCACTGGTCCTGTTAGCTAGGGATTATGGGAATTGTAGTCCCAGACATCTGGAGGGCCAGAGTTTGCCTATGCCTGCTCCAGACCTTAGGCATTACAATAAACTATCCTCCATGCCCTGTGAAAGACGGAGTGGCATTTCTCCACAATGTGCCTTACTTCTGGCTCCTCCAAATTTAAGTTTCAAAGACCTCTCATATTGCACAGCTGAATAAACTGAACAAAGGTATTTATCTTCACATACCCAGTTATGTTCTGCACAGGAATTAAACACACAGGAAAGTATAGGAAATAAACACACACACACTACATTCTTCTGCTCCAATGAATGGCAGCCCCTTCTGGGGAAAGGACATAATTTTTGATGGTATGAAATAACCTTGAAGATGGGAAAGGTAGTATGTGTAACACAGGGAGCAGGGCAGAGTGGTTCCAGGAACAAACATAACACTCTAGACCCCAAGAGACCATAAGTAGACTTGACACCATCTCTACTTCCAAGGGCCTAGAAAAACTCCCATGGTTCCCATAAGAAATCCTGGCATTGCATCGCTATCACCACGCCATAAGCTTGCCTTCCCCATTCCTAGCCATCTCCAAAGCACTCACCCACTAAGGAAGACTTTCTCTGCTGAGGAGAGCACATTTTTGTAGATCCCAGTAGAGTGGTACACAAGGTCATTGCAGGAGTGATGCTGGGGCCTGGCACAAAACCAGCGCTCCCCAGTGCCAGGATCCACGTACTGGCAGGTTGGGCCTGAGACTGGATGCACGTTGCATTCAGTCACTTCTTCTTTGCTCCCCTGGCCTGGGTCCACAAAGTAGCCCCTGAAAGTGACTGTGGAGGGATGGGAGTCACGGATGCGCCGAAGGAGGGCCACAGTCTCACTGGAGTGGATGAGACGCACAGACACCTGCGCCGCACCTGCCCACAGAAGCGGGAAAGTCAGTGTGTAGGTGCCATTGTTGTGGTCCTCCACTGTCCCTGCCACACTCGCCTTCAGCTCTGGGGAATGCAATTTGGCCCTCAAGAAGTCTCCGCCGTAGTGCTTTGGCTGCCCACTCTGGTCCCGGGCCTCCAGCGACACCAGGAGCATGTTACCCACTGTGTAGTTGCTCTGGGACTGCAAGAGTCGGTAGTGGCTCTTCTCAGCACTGGTGGAGGAAGCAAAGGCTGCAGCATTCTCAGGTGGAGCTGGCCATTGGAGCAGCTGGAGCAGTGCCTGCAGTTCTGGAGACTCTGTTAAAGGAGTTGGGCCTGGCTTGGCACCCACAGGGGATGGAGGCACAAGTTTGTCTCTGAAGTGGTCAAAGGATAGGAATCGGTAGATCATCTGGGGAGTCAGAATAACACAAAAAAGAAATGGGGTGAGGCTTTGTGGGGGGAAATACAAGGACTATGGCCACATTTGTGCCTGTGGGAGCCAGCTCCACAGAGCCGAGGTCCCTTCAGCCCCCCCAATAAAATATTTGAGAGGGCCAGAACCCCACAATATTGGGGGCTTTAGCAATAAGTCTACAACTCTTCAGCAGGTTAGGAGCATGGTGGTAATGCTGCTGGGAAAGCTCAATTTCTATAAGGGAAGGGACTTCAGAAGACCACCCAGCCCAGCCACTTGCCCAAAGAAACGACCCCACACACCTCATACCATAGGACTGGGCGCCCACAAAGTCAGTGAAAAAAGCCAGCAGGTGACAGTGCTGCAGCCTCTGAGAGAGAAGCAGTTCAGCTCCACCCTCTGCAGCCAGGGAGCAAGGCACCCTTTTCCAGGGGGTGGGGCTCAGACACAGAGGCACGAGCCCCTCCCCATGGAAAAGGGCACCTCACTGGCTGCAGATAGGAGGAGGAAGAAGAGTTGCGTCACATGCACACCCACAATCGAGAGGGCACCCCTGTCTCAGGCAGGATCTGAAGCCAGGAACAGTGTTGCAGGAATTTCCTCCATAAATTTTTGAACTGGGAAGTCCCCCTACTGTATGCCAATTTGGGTAATTTGCATCAGAAAGTGTTTCACTTTCACAGGCGGGGGGTGGGGGTGGGTGGAAATCTAATGCCTTGGAGAGTCGTCTAATTTAGCACGTTTCTGTTCTATGTAGTAAAGAAAACTAAAAAGTCTGAATCTGCCAAGCGTGCCTAATACTGTATTACTTAAATACAATATCATAGTAATATCATAGGCCTCCACTCATAGTTACTAATGAAAGTATGAAATGGGGACAGGGATGACCAAATATCAAAGCAATAGAATAGTTTTAGTATGGAAAAAGATCCACTTCATATTTCTAGACAGGACACCCTTCTGTGTGGTGACAATTTGCCAGCAAAACACTTGCCACAGCCACCAGCATAATTGTGTAATAGACAGTTCCTGGAGAGGTTGTGGTTGTGAGGCTGGATGGGATTCCTGCTTTCTTTGGGAAAACCTATATGAGTTTGTTTGTGGGTTTTATATTGTAATTTTGTTTTGTGAACTGCCCTGAGATCTATGGATGAGGGACGGTATACAAATTTTAATGATGATGATGATAAGTTATCTACAAGTCATACAGGGTGTTTTTCCAAGTTCCAAAGCAGTGAACAGGAATGGAGAGTCCCTCATGTGATAGCCCAGTTGATAAAGCATGAGTCTCTTAAGGTCAGGGCTGTGTGTCTGAGCCCCAGATTGGATGCACGATTCCTGCGCTGCAGGGGTTGGGGCTGGATTATCCTTGTTGTCTCTCCCAACTCTTCAATTCTATGGTTCTATGTTCCCAGCTCTTGTTGAGACTTTCAAGAAGGGACCCCAATTGCACATATGACCCACACCAGAAGGCAAGAAATGGCTAATGGACAATGAGGGGCAGGCCCCACAACTGTAACGCCCAACTATTGGCTCACCCTGTCGGAGCACTGAAAACATCCCAGCCCTACCATTGCTCTTCACCTACATCCGTTTCACTCACATGTCTAATAATAAATCCCATTTCTCCTAAACACACACGCACTTCATAGGGGAGAATGGGCACAGGAAAAATACTGTGATCGGTCACAAGCACGGAACTGCACAAAAATAACCCCCCTGAAAGAACATTTCCTCTCACAATTTATCTAAAATTCTGATCTCTCATATTCAATTTCTTTCTTCTTTTTTACAAAAGAGAATCTTTGGAGAACACTTTACTCACCGAGGTAGATTTATAACTGACCCTCTGAACTCACCCCTGCTGTGAATATTAGTCCAAGACAGAAAAGTGGAGCTGGTCTGAGACCACAAGGAGCCATCACCATCCGCCCCACCTGCCTTTTCTTTCTCCTTCCTATATGACTTTCCCTGTTGACCGAGATAATAAAATACACATTTTATGAGCAAAATTGCATTCTCACCTTGTAAGTGAACACCCCTATGAGGCAAAATATACAAGATGAGGACAGCAGAGGAAGTCAGTGGATTATGCCTCCTAGAAGCACAGCTATTGAGGCTCTGCTGGCCCATGAAGTGAATCTGTTGCAGCAAGGCTACTCACAGGGCTCATAAGGACTCAGAATCTCTCCTTCCTTCCCAAAGAGTCATGAAGTAGGGAAGATGGGGTCAGTTCCAGAGACTTTGCTGCCTGAGGTGAACAAGAAAATGTGCCCACCCAATTGGGGCCAGGAATTGTGGTTTGTTAAGAGGGCTGGGTTAGAGGATGGATAGGGAGTAGTCTCAGGGGCCAAATGCAGCCCTTCCAGCCTATCTATCATGGTTCAGGCTGTGGGAAATTGCAGCCACACATAACTATGCATGAGTGCTAGTTAGTGCATGAAGGGGTTAAGACAATAGAGCTAGATTCCTAGACTCATCTAGGTCACGCCCACTCTTCTCTGATGAGGGAGGAAGTAAAGCTGTTTCTTTCTGTTCCCTTTCTTTCTCTGCATCCTGTAACTGACCAAGGAAGATGTGTCAAAACAAGCTGCAAGTTTAGAGCATGTCTTTGAAACTATCTTTCTGTATCTTCTATTCTGTCTGTGTTCTCCTTGCTGCTGCTTGGATAAATATATGACTGGGACCTTTGGAACATTTTGTAAGTGAATAATTTTAAACGTACTTAACAGTGTGTTGTCTGTTCATTGCAAGAGGGTTAGAAAGAGAGGAACACTGGTGGTAAGAACTCTAGAGTGTTAGTCAAGAGTTGTGAAAAACAGAAAAATAAATCTATTGTTCAATGCATCTTGAAACAAGATGGAACCAAAATCTTTTCACCTGAGAATATTTGTCAAGAACTTGCTCCTTATTACTCTTCTATATATACCTCTATGCATCTAAAAGACACTAATATAGTGTCTAAACATACTAAACATTTCTTTAGTTTCAAATGATGATAGAGGATCCCTCATTAGGATTGAAATTGAAATTGTCCTTAAGAATTTAAAATTTAACAAAGTACTGGGCCTAGAAAGTTTCACATCTGGGTTCTATAAAAACTTTAAAGATTGGATGATGCTGTGTTAGCTCAGTCGGTAAAGCACAAAAGGCTTAATCTCAGGGTTTGAGTCTCACATTGGGCAACAGGTTCCTGCATTGCAGGGGTTTGGATTAGATGACCCTCATGGTCCCTTCCAACTCTACAATTTTATGATCCTATTATCAACTTCTTCCTTATATAGCGTGGCCATTTTAATTATATTTAACATGGTGCATCTTTATCTTAAAACTTGATACTATATTACAACGCCAACCAAATACGCCATATAATCCCATATATACTAGAAGATGAGACAAAACAATGGGTACACCTAGAGAGGGACACAATTGAAAACACCTGCACCACAGCATACCCACTCCTCCCAAACAAACTAAAGAAAATTCCCACAACACTTAACAGGTACACACAGACCATGCTCAAAGCATGGAAAACACAAATAGGCAAACTATCCCCAACCCCATCCCCACTAATCCCCCTGGCGTACCACCCATTATTCCACCATGCAGCACAAAACCTCAAGATAAAAACCTGGCGAACCAAAGGCTTGTATCGCCTAATAGACTTTTATAAAAAGAACAAACCCTTGTCAACACAAGAAATACAAGACAAACTAGAAGACACCCAAATGCCCTGGTTAACACAACACCAACTACATGCCCTCTTAAACAACCCAACAGTAAAATCAGCAGCAACTAGGCCCCTGACAACCTTCGAAAACCTCCTCCTAGCAACAAAGGGAAACGGTAAAGGGATGGTATCCGCAATATACAAAATACTACTCCAAAATCTCGCAAATCCCCTAGACGCAATCAAAAATCAATGGGAGAATGACATAGGCTATGAGATAAACCCCACTCAATGGACCAGAATGTGGTCTAAACCCCCCTTTAAATCCATATCAACGAAAAGAAAAGAACTCACACTGAAACTCACCTACAGGTGGTACCTAACACCAAGGAAACTAGCGCTAATACACCCAGGAACCTCACCAAAATGCTGGAGAGGGTGCACCTCCACAGGCACATACTTCCACATGTGGTGGGAGTGTCCCAAAATCCAACTATTCTGGACAACAGCCATACAAGAAATTTGTAAAATAACTAAGCAAGTAATAGACACCACCCCAGAATTGGCCCTACTAAACATCTTCCAAGACAACAATGCCCATTTACACCACAAAGAACTCATAACCCACCTGCTCTCAGCAGCCAGAAACACCATAACCAGACACTGGAGAGACCTGTCAGGAGTAAGCATGGACCAATGGTATCAAATAGTATGGGAAACAGCCCTACTAGAAAAATTAACTAATAAACTGAAACTGACACGGGGACAAACAGAAGAAGATGCCTTCACCCCGGTATGGCTCCCCTTTATCACACACACAGCCCAACAGGACAATGACAATAATCCACCAACAGCATACAAATCAATATGGCTAACCTGATCCAAAACACCCACCCACCTCACTCACACACGAAAACAAAGATCACCACAGCCAATCACAAGCAAACAATCACACCCTAGGCCAACCCCAACCTCTCTCACCACCAAAGGAACACAAGTGAACAACACAAGCACGCTGACACCAAACTCTACATACATTAAACATAATAGAAACACCGCCACCCAATCCCACCCTTATCCATCTTCCCTCTCTCCACCCCCCTTTCTCTTTTCTCTCCTTTTTTATTTTTATTTTTATTTTCTTCTCCCCCTAATGCCTCAACAAATGAAACGGATTTGTAAAAATGTTACATGGGGAAAAATATATATGAGGCACTACACTTCTGTAAAACAAGAAAATCCTTAATAAAATATTAAAAAAAAACAAAACTTGATACTAAAATTTGGACCATATCAAAATCCTTTTAAAGACTATTCAAGGTTAGAATCATTCTGTCCAATCTTCCTTATCAATCAAGACTACAAAATGTTTACCTTTATATTTGTCAATAGAACCAAACACTTCCTTCATAAATTAGTTGCCCTCAAACTGATTTTGTTTCCTGCAGAAATATCACAGATCCAATTCGAATATCATTAAGTGTTATAGAATTCTGTAGGGGTTCAGCATCCCCTCTTACAATCATGAGTATTTTGAAGGCCTTTGACTGTTTCGAGTGGGATTACTTGTTGGTACTATTGAAAATGTTGCAATTTTGCCCTAAATTTGGAAGAAAAAAAATTCAGAAGCTATGGCTATGATCAGAATCAATAATTTAGAGTTAACATCTGTGTTTGGTTGGGAATAAAACAAGGCTTCCCTTTGTCCACTTTTATTTTGGTGTTAGAAACTTTAGCAATTTGAGAGGCTCCAGATATTAATATTATTATTATTTATTATTATTATTATTATTATTATTATTATTATTATTTTATTTATATCCCGCCCTCCCCAGCCGAAGCTGGGCTCAGGGCGGCTAACAACAATCAAAATAGTCCAACATTCTAAAAACATTCATTATAAAATTAATTAAATCAAATTAAAATCAAATTAATGGCAACCATCAAGCAAAATTCTGTGCAGATTGCCAGAGGAGGGGGTCAGGCTGCGCCCTGACCAAAGGCCTGGTGGAACAGCTCTGTCTTGCAGGCCCTGCGGAAGGATGTCAGGTCCTGCAGGGCCCTAGTCTCTTGTGACAGAGCGTTCCACCAGATTGGAGCCGCGGCCGAGAAAGCCCTGGCTCTAGTTGAGGCCAGCCTAACCTCTCTGTGGCCTGGGATCTTTAGGATGTTTTTATTTGCAGACCGTAAATTTCTCTGTGGGACATACCAGGAGAGGCGGTCCCGTAGGTACAAGGGTCCTAGGCCGTATAGGGCTTTAAAGGTTAAAACCAGCACCTTAAACCTGATCCTGTACTCCACCGGGAGCCAGTGCAGCTGGTATAGTACCGGATGGATATGATCTCGCAGCGAAGACCCCATAAGGAGTCTCGCCGCGACATTCTGCACCCGCTGGAGTTTCTGGGTCAGTCTCAAGGGCAGCCCCACGTAAAGCGAGTTACAATAATCCAGTCTGGAGGTGACCGTCGCGTGGATCACAGTGGCTAGGTCAGGGCGAGAGAGATAAGGAGCCAACTGCTTAGCTTGGCGGAGATGAAAAAATGCCGCCCTTGTTATAGCTGTAATCTGCACCTCCATAGAGAGGGAGGTATTGAAGATTACACCCAAACTCTTAACGGACGATGCTGGCACTAATTGCACCCCCGCAAGAGATGGGAGTTGCCCCCTCAGTCCCATATCGCTCCGTCCCAGCCAGAGGACCTCTGTCTTCGAAGGATTTAACTTCAACCGGCTCCCACGTAACCATCCAGCCACAGCTTCCAGACATCTGGTCAGTGTATCTGGGGCCGAGTCAGGATGGCCGTCCATCAACAGATAGAGTTGGGTGTCATCGGCATACTGATGGCAACCCAGCCCAAAACTCCGGACAAGCTGGGCGAGGGGGCGCATAAAGATGTTAAAAAGCATCGGGGAGAGAATCGCACCCTGAGGCACTCCACACACCAAGGAGTGGCGCGATGACAATTCCCCCCCCCCCAGGCGCCACCCTCTGTCCCCGACCAGAGAGAAACAAGCGCAGCCATTGAAGGACTGTGCCCTTGATCCCCACGTCGGCAAGGCGGTGGTCCAGGAGTTCGTGATCGACCATGTCAAAGGCTGCTGACAGGTCGAGAAGAATCAGCAGCCCCGACCCGCCTCGATCCAGCTGCCTGCGGAGATCATCTGTTAGGGCGACCAGAGCCGTCTCGGTCCCATGACCATTGGAGTAGAAATAAAGAAGCAACTGTATAGGCTCTCACTAAATGCCGATTACATGCTAATCATGACACCTGAGCCAGTGATAACCTCAAGGGGCCGAATTCATGAGCTTTATAGCTTTGGTCTAGTCTTGGGCTCACAGCTTAATTTTTACAAATCCAAAGCCATGACTCTTAAAGTGGTATAAGAGTATTTTAAATACATAGTGTGGGTGTGATCTATATCTCTCATGACCTAGCGCTTCTCCATATGTGTTTTACAGCCGATAAAAAAGCCTCAGTTGGATGTGCTGGTCACACAGATGGCTGCACCTGGGAGAGACCCCAGTCCCAAGATTTGCTTTGAGTTGTTTTGCCTCTTCCCTCTTTATGCAGGTTGCAGACCTGGATGGAAGATACTGGCAGATTCCCTGTAACCTGTTGGTGCTGTATTTGCTGGGTTGGCTATGTGGATGTTTTAGCTCACAATGAGATGCAATGCCCACTGCATGGTGGGCTGAGAAGGAAGATATAGCTATAATTGATATTACTTGTTTCCGTTTGATGGTGATTTATATCCACCCACAGAGTGGCCTTTTTAAAATAGCACTGGCAGCTAAGACAACAGCAGATAAAAGTTCTGAATAGTGCAGCAGGTTATTTGTACAGGTCTAATAACATTTTACTCTGAATTTTATTTAATAACCTCCAGGCTTTATAAGTTAGGCTTTGTGGTGTGTTCTAAAGGCTAATGGCAAAGCCCAATAAAAATGATTAGAGTAAAAATGTAATTGTTCTGAACTGACAGATTGAAGATGCAGATTAAGGAGGATCAGGGCCTCACACCCACACCCATGCCAACCTATTATTCTGGCTTCCATCCAAGCAACTCCAGCAGCCTCAGGGAGGTTCAAACAAAAGCTACTGAAGAGTGGCAAATGGTTTAGGTATTTGTTTAGGGCATGATGTGTGTGGAATGGCAGTCAAATTAAAATCATCTGATCAGCTAGGCGTAACACAGGGGGAAAAAGAATAGAGCTGGGCTGCTGGTCAAGAAGGTCGTGCAGATAGCTCCACAATTATTTTCTCCCAGGTTTTGTGGGCTATTAAAACCAAAATCATGGACACGGGTGGCACTGTGGTCTAAACCACAGAGACTATGGCTTGCCGATCAGAAGTTGGTGGTTTGAATCCCCACAATGGGGTGAGCTCCCGTTGCTCGGTCCCTGCTCCTGCCAACTTAGCAGTTCAAAAGCATGTCAAGTGCAAGTAGATAAATAGCTACTGCTCCGGCAGGAAGGTAAACGGCGTTTCCGTGTGCTGCTCTGGTTCGCCAGAAGCGGCTTAGTCATGCTGGCCACATGACCCGGAAGCTGTCTGCGGACAAACGCTGGCTCCCTTGGCCTATAGAGCGAGATGAGCTCCCCAACCCCAGAGTCGTCCATGACTGGACCTAATGGTCAGGGGTACCTTTACCTTTTTAAAACAAAATCGGTCTGGGTGAGGAAGGGCTGGTTCCAGACTTCAGAGGGCCCCCAGCATTGTGCCACCCATCGCCCATCAACACACGTACACCCAATGCACCTTCGCCTGTGAGAAAAAAATCAGCCCGGAGAGGATAATCTGAGCTGGGGGGAAATGAGTGGAGAGCAAAGAATTAAGCAGCCTACCTCACCTCACCTCACCTCACCCCACCACGCCTCCCTTTGTTCTTAATTGCATCTTATCTAAATCATTTGGGTTTAGCAAGCTTGGGAAAGGAAGGTTTACAGAACACCTCGCTTTGCTGATTCATTGTACAAAACCCACAGGGCAATAGAAAAGGAGGCTCCCAGCCACAGCCTCGCCAAAGAGAGAGCAATGAGGCTGAAGAATTGTAGACAGACAGGTAAAGCCAAGGCTTCCACACCCTGCTCTTGGGGGAGTTGGACTCATGAATCTTCAAGGGTATCGCAGGGAGACTATGCTGAGGCAGCTATGAAATAAGTTCTCCTTTACCTCCAGCTCTCAGGAGTTCCTGAAAGTATCCCCCCACTTTTTGAGGCATGGGACAAGCAGAAGTGTGGACAAACCCTTTGAAAAGAAAGAAGCGCCACAGGCAGTAATAATTTATGAGGAATGGCATCCGCTGAGAAGAAGCTAGCAAGAGCCAGCAGGAAGGGAAGGGAAGGTCCAGCTCCAGACAGGGGCGAGGAGGCAGAAGAGAAGCAAGTCTTGTAGCTATCTAGTCCCGGGGAAGATTAGCAAAACACACACACACACACACACACCCTGCATAAGTGTTAGCTGTGTCATTAAGTAGTATGTGTATCTGTTGCAGGTCATTTTCCCATGGCAATTTTGTCCCAAGAAAACAACAGTTTTAAGGATGCAGGGGGTTGCTTCCCATTTTTGTCCCCCTTGGCAACAAGGTCTGCAAGTCTTCAACAAGTTAGAGAGACATGAGAGGAGAGGAAGTAGAGAGAGATTGGGGGTGAGGAGCAGAGGAAAGAGAAGGGAAAGAGCAACAAGATTCAAAATCAGACAAGAATTCTACAGCAAGCACATTGGCCCCAAAGGAATTGGATGAAGAAATTTCTGCGTCCTTTGGGAGACCCTAAAAGCCCCAGTCGAAGGACTACCAGGGAGAGGTGAGCAAGTGGATTAAACAAAAATTGCAAGTTCCCTTCTGCCCCCTATAAGTCAAGCCTTTAGTGAATTTATGTTTATTTCCTGGTAAAGGGAGCCACTCAAACAACCAGGAATTAACTCTTCAAAAGCAAAAGATTCCCCCACCTGTTCTCTGAGAAAGGGCTGTAATGCTGCTGAAAAAGCTGGATTTCTACAGGGGAAGGGAACTCAGAAAACCATTCGTCTCAGCCACTTGCCCAAGGAAAGGACACCCCCCAGGATCTGAATCCAGAGCCAGTGGGCAGGAAATTTCTCCAGAAATTATTGAATTGGGAAAGCTCCCTATGCCAATTTGAGTAATTTGCATCAGAAAGTGTTTCGCTTTCATGAGGGGTATGTGTGTGTAGATCTAATGCCTTGAGAGAATTATCCAATTTAGCATGTTTATTTTACTGCTATGTAGAAAAAAAACCTAAAAATCTGAATCTGCCAAGCATACTGAGTAGCTTTGTCATTCAAGTAGGTGCTTTTCTAAGATCCAAGACACTCAACAGGAATGAAGAGTCCCCTCTGGCTCCTGTTCAGACTTTCAAGAAGGGTCCCTGGTTGCGCATCTAGCCCACACATCAGAAGGCATGATATGTCTCAGGGGAGCCTATGGCAAATGGACAGTGAAGGGCAGGCTCCAGAACTGTAGCACCCAAACTCTCAGCTCACATTGTGGAATGACTGTAAGCATCCCAGCCCTACCATTACCCTTACACCCCTTCACTCATTCACATGCACATGTCTAATAATAAACCCCATTTGCCCCTAACACACACACATTTCCTAGGGAAGACTGGGCATAGGTAAAATATTGTGATTAGCAGCAGGCATGTAACTGCACAAAAAAGAACCCTCCTGAAAGAACCCAACATTTCGCTTCAAAATTTATCATAAATTATAACATATCAGTTCTTTCTTTCTTTCTTTTTTCAAAGACGATAGATAGAGAGCACATGAATTCATTGAGGCAGATTTATAACTGACTTCCTGGACTCACCCTTGCTGTGAATATTAGTCCAAGACAGAGAAGAGGAGCTGGTCTGAGACCCCCAAGAAGCCTTTGGCATCTGTCTCATCTGTCTTTGCTTCCTTCCTCTTGTATGACAGGTACTTCAAGTCAACACATCTGTGAGGCAAAACACACAAGAGGAGGGCAGGGGAGGAAGTCAGTGAACTAAGCCTCCTGAAGGCACAGCTACTAAGGCTTATCTGGGACATTAAGTGAATCAGCTGCAGTCAGGCTACTCACAGAGCTCATAACATGGGCGTACCCAGGATTGTTGTTGGCGGGGCAGGCTTTTGCTAGGAGGGCCAGAACCTCAGATGTGTATTGATTTATATTGATTTGGGGGGGGGGCAGCTGCCCCCCTTGGCTATGTCCATGGCTTATAAGGACTGAGAATCTCCCCTTCATGCCAAAACAAGGGGAGAGGGTCAGCCCAAGACACTTTGCTGCCAGAGGTGAACCACAAAATGCCCGGCCAGGAATTGCCATTTGTTAAGGGGGGGGGTAGGAGCAGTGTTTCTCAACCTTGTTCCGTGGCCCCCTTCCAACCTGGTTTGCTTCTTGTGTCCCACCCCCCAGCCTACCAGTAGAAAGGTAGCTATTTAAATGTTTTGTTTGTAAATAGAACATGTTTTATTTATAACTGTTATAATTTATACAAAATACAATTACATAATAATTCATACTTTAAGTATTTCTTGATCAATGTGACCCTTGTGCTTGATGACCAGAAACAAGCTTTTTAAAATACAGTGGTACCTCGGGTTAAGTACTTAATTCGTTCCGGAGGTCCGTTCTTAACCTGAAACTGTTCTTAAGCTGAAGCACTACTTTAGCTAATGAGGCCTCCTGCAGCCGCTGCACCGCCACCGCACGATTTCTGTTCTCATCCTGAAGCAAAGTTCTTAACCTGAAGCACTATTTCTGGGTTAGAGGAGTCTGTAACCTGAAGCGTATGTAACCTGAAGCGTATGTAACCCAAGGTACCACTGTATCTGTCCATTATGTTAACACGATTCCGCAATAGGCTGTGTAACTCTTGCATGCAGCAACATACCTCCTTTCGGAGTAATGCTTGCACAAAGAAACAGCAGCCCCTCATACTAATGCTGCTGCAGCCACGCACCTTGCCCGTGACATACAAGATGCAGACATCTTGGTGCGTTTAGCGGTGGGGTGCGGAAGTTGGAGGGAGAAGCGGAAGCGACATTGCCGCAGAGTGTGCATGGCAATCCATTCACTGGGAAGCGTGGTCATTTTTGTTTTCTATTTTCTTCACTTTTCTGTTTTCTATTTTCTTCACTTTTCTGTTTTCTTTTCTCAGCCACTTCTCTGTTTTCTTCACTTCTCACTTCCTTCTGTGGCCCCTAGTCTTGTGCCGTGACCCCCTCATTTATGCAATTTTCACCCATGGCCCCCTTGGAATATCCTGGGGCCCCCCCCAAGGGGACCATATCGTCCCCAATTGGGAAACAATGGGTTAAAGCACTGATAGGAAATATCAGTCTCAGGGACCACATGCAGCCCTCCCAGCCTGTTGGGACTCAGGCCACCCTTCTCCAGTTCTGCTTTGATGGACTGAAATGTTTCTTTGGATGAAGAGAATGTACTGTGGTGGTGAGAGAGTGCTCACCTCACCCCCCCCATCCCTGCCCCCACAAAACACACCACCCCTTTCAATTCAGCAGTATGCCCCCTCTCTTGCCTTTGCACCGTGGCTTACTTTTTGGAGACAGAAGGTGCTCTTTTGCCAAGCTGGGAACCTGCCTGTCAGAAGGCAGCTATCACTAGTCTCCAGTAGTACTGTATTCTCGTAATGTACATTCTAAATGGTTTTTGCTCCAAGTTTATTGTTACAATCCACCATGGCAAAGTGAACAAATTAAGTATGAGCTCAAAAGCAAAATAATGAACAAATAATATTTATTATTTCAGTTCCATTTTCTATGTAAAACACTCAATACACAAATACAACAACATTAGAATCATGGCCACACTAAAAAAATAAAAGCTAGATAATCAAATGCTTTTGTGTTCAACAGAAGGCACTTTCAAATTGTAGGCAAATGATTTACATTTCACACTCTGAGAAACTTTGCTTTGGTGTATGTGTGCGCTTGAATGCTGTGCCTGTATGTGCCTGTATGTGTACACACGTATACTCTGTAGTGCTGACACAACAAAATTTAGCACACTTCATCTGTAGTGAGCAATTACTGCATGTTATGGATGCAAACCTGAAATCTCCCCTACATTCATGTTCCCTAGTCAATACTAACAAAGTCAGGTAAGTAGCCACCAGGGCTTTCCTTTTACGTTCAAACACAGTGCTTATTGGAGGGTGGAAGAACAAATCTCTGGAGCTGTTTCAGGCTGCAATCCCATACCCCTCTAACATGGAGGAAAGTCCAACTGAACTTGACCGGACATGCTTCTGATTACACATAGAAACAATTGAGACATACCTAGGTTCTCTTGAACTCTTGGCAAGGAGCTGTATCAGTGCATCCAAAGCCAGGAGAGACCATGGACCGGAAACTCAAAAAGCTTATTTTCATCTCCTTTAGCACTCTGCCAGGAGTGGCCTGTGAAGTGTGCCGATAGAAGGGTGGGCTCCTAGGTATTCTGCACCGTTGGCAGGGGTCAACCTAAGCACCCCCTAAGTATGCCCTTGGGTGTGTGTGATTTCTGTTTTGCCAGAATTGACTTCCTGTCACTGCCCCCATTCAGTGCTCATTGCAGCTGCCCCCCCCCCCACCCTGGAGAAGCTGCTCTAGCCCCCCCCCCCCTTGCACATGCTAAGGTGCCTAGCAGCAATGACAGCATTGTAAGGGACCAGGCAGACAAGTGGCCACTGAGCTCCCTGGACAATTACAGCACCACAGTCAGCTAAGCATGTTTGCAAGTGTGAGGGGGAGGCTGGCAGTTTCCCCACACCCTTGTGCTCATGCATTGGCAGGCTTACCTGGTGGTGATTCATTACAGAGCTGCTGCTGCTCCCACTAGGGAAACCAACTTGCAAGGGGGAGCCTGTCCAAACCCTTTGTGTAACTGAGCTTCCCTGGCAGAGGCAGCTGTTGGGCTCTCCAGTCCATTACAGTGCTGCTGCCACCAGCAGCGAAGCATATGCCCACGCTGCCCAGGGCGGGTGCACTCCCGAGGGGGGCGGGGCACAGAGGATGCCCTCCCAGGCATGGGATAGCTGCTCAGGTGCACAGAGCAGCGTGCGCGCCCTGCAACCAGTTGCGGAGCGAGCCATCAATGGTGGACATTTGGTGCACCTCGTGCCCGCGACTCCCAAGCCTCCCCCAGCTGTCAAAATGAAGGGGGAAGGGGGGGAATGGCGACAGCAAAGCGGTGCAGCTCCCTCCCTTCCCCCAGCGGTTTGGGGTAGGCTTGGGAGTCACAGGCAGGCAGTGCACCAAATATCACCCCCCTCAGCGAAGACACCTAGGATAGTCCCCCCCCACCACACACCCCTTCTTCCACCCCTGGCTGCCACACAAGCCTTCTCACATAAGAACAGTTTGGGCTGGGCCTCCTTCCCATCAACAGTGAAGGTCTCAAGTGCAAATGTGGTCCAGGGGAGGGACACTGCTGTCCAGGCACCCAGCCCTGTAGATTCATCTCAGAGAATGATGGACCCATTTCATCTCACCTTAAGCAGCAGCCCTTTTTCTGCAGGAAGAAGCCCCAGATGATCACGTCCTATTATTCCGTGCTGTAAAATTTCCCACCCACCCAAAACAGGTATCAGCAAGTTCTTCCATAAGAAAGCCATCATCTTCCTCCATATCTTCTGAGAGACAGAAAGGTCTGCAGGATTTGAAGAATGACAAAAGGGAGAATGACAAAAGAGATCCCCTCTTCCTTGTGGAAGTTTTTCCATGTGCTCTGCAGAAATAGAGTGCCAAGTCTGCTCCATTCTGGGTCACTTTCCTGGGCAGACATAGGAGAGGAAGGCGTTGACCTCATTCTGCACAACGACCTTGCCAGGATGAATATTTTCAGGCAGGTAGTGGCAGGAGGTCATGGCCCAGGCATCAACAATAGCCACTCTCATGCCTGCAAACATGGCACGAAGGATGTTGTCCAGCTGCAGGGAGAGCCAGTCACTGCCATAGACAGTGTATCCTGTGTTGGCTGACTTGATGACAATGGTGATCTGGGGGCTGCGGGCCAGGAGCTGAGCCACAGCCTGCCGAATGCTGTGCACCCGCCGCACATATATATGCATGGGGAAGGTGATGAAATGGACCCCCAGCGTGAAGACCACCACCATATCAGGGCCCCCACCAAGTGCATTCAGTTCATTGGCCAAGTAGTGTATGTCAGCCATCTTGGATTTCCCAGTGCGCAGTGGAACGCCATGAGCACGCCACCTCAGCACAAGGCCCTGTGCTGGCTCCACGGCCAGCAGCGGGCCAGACTTATAGGTCACATGAAGGTCTATGTGCTTGACTGCTATACAGAGAAAGAGAAAGACAGAGTGTGTGTGAGACTCAAGAGTTAGAGTCCCAAATGGACAACGCTACACTCCAGTTATCCATCAAAGGTTCCCATGTGCTCTGATCCATGATTTGCATACCCTTACTCATGTGTAACAGTCAGAGAGTAGCTTCTCTCACTGTTCTCCTAGCCCAGTGATGGCCAAACCTGGCCCTCCAGCTGTTTTGGGACTACAATTTCCATCATCCCTGACCACTTGACCTGTTAGCTAGGGATGATGGGAGTTGTAGTCCAAAAACTGCTGGAGGGCCAAGTTTGGCCATCACTGTCCTAGCCCAACCATTCCTTCTTAGTTCTCTGCCAAAGCCAACCACCCCAGCCAACACAATTCTTACCACTATTTCTGCTGTACTAAGACTGCTCCATTCTGAGTCACTTCCCTGGACAGACATAGGAGAGGAAGGCGTTGACCTCATTCTGCACAACGACCTTGCCAGGATGGATGTTATCAGGCAGGTAGTGGCAGGAGGTCATGGCCCAGGCATCAACAATGGCCACTTTCATGCCAGCAAACATGGCACGAAGGATGTTGTCCAGCTGCAGGGAGAGCCAATCACTGCCATAGACAGACTTGAATCCTGTGTTGGCTGACTTGATGACAACGGTGGTCTGGGGGCTGCGGGCCAGGAGCTGAGCCACAGCCTGCCGAATGCCGTGCACCCGCCGCACATGTACATCCACGGGGAAGCTGATGAAATGGCCCCCAGCGTGAAAACTACCACCATGTCTGGGCCCCCACCAAGTGCATCCAGCTCATTGGCCAAGTAGTGCATGTCAGCCATCTTGGACTTCGCGGTGCGCAGCGGAATGCCGTGGGCACGCCACCTCAGCACAAGGCCCTGTGCTGGCTCCACAGCCAGCAGTGGGCCAGACTGATAGGTCACGTGAAGGTCTATCTGCTTGACTGCTACACAGAGAAAGAGAAAGACAGAGTGTGTGAGAGACTCAGGAGTTAGAGTCCCAAATGGACAGCTCCACACTCCCGTCATCCATCAAAGGTTCATGTGCTCTGATCCATGATTTGCATACCCTTACACATGTGTAACAGTGAGAGAGTAGCTTCCCTCACTCTTCACCTGGCCCAAACATTCCTTCTTAGTTCTCTGCCAAAGCCAACCAACCCAGCCAACACAATTCTTGCTACACCAACCTCTGTTTCCTTCATTCTGGTTCTGAAGCTCAACCGTACCTTTCTTATACATCTATCCCCACACCAGGACACCTGTCCCCCAAAACAATGCCCTTTCCACATCCAGACAGTGACTTACATGGAATGAAGGCCAGCAGGAATTCCCACCACTGGCGTAGTGTGGAGTCTCCAATCATATGGACTATCTTGCCTCGCAAGCAGCTGAGTGCCAAGTCAGAAGTAGGGAAGGTCCGGCTAGAACATCCCAAGGAAACCCACACATCCTTGTAGTAGAAACCTGAAGGGTTGGTGAGGGCAAGTCCTGGATGGCATGGGAGCGGTGGGGAGGTGGCTACAGGAACACAGGCAAGGGATGGTCACAATGCCATTCTCAAGAATATAAACACAGAGCCAACTGACTTCCCACCATCTATTTCCACTCACCAACAGTCAGCTGGTGGCTAGGCAGCACTTGGATGATGGGCACACTCCCTGGAATAATCCGGTCTGTCGCAGCTCTGTGTGAACAGAGAGGAATGAAGAACAGGGCAACTTGAGCTGCATCACTGCTGAAGTGTGAGTTTCTTCTTTGAAGCTCATCACGTTGTTAAAGACTATGCTGGGTTCTACTGCTTACTGGTCACACTGGCTCACCTTCAACAGGCAATCTCTCAATCTGTGTTTAATTTAATTTGATTTTCATATTAATGGATAAAGTGTATGTCCAAAGTCCAGAGGATAATGTTACCACAGATGTGGAGGGGGTAGTGTTTATGGGTTTCTGTTGGGGCCAAGATTTGATTTTGGTGCTGCATTATTTTTGCTGTTTTTGTGATTTGCTATTGTGATTTTTGCAATTATTATTTTTTTGAAATGTGCTCATGAACATTACTAACATTTTGTTATCTGATCACATGCTCCTATTGCTGACATTTTTGCTTTCATTAAACCCTCTAGACCAGGCATAGGCAAACTTCGGCCCTCCAGATGTTTGGGACTACAATTCCCATCATCCCTGACCACTGGTCCTGTTAGCTAGGGATTATGGGAATTGTAGTCCCAGACATCTGGAGGGCCAGAGTTTGCCTATGCCTGCTCCAGACCTTAGGCATTACAATAAACTATCCTCCATGCCCTGTGAAAGACAGAGTGGCATTTCTCCACAATGTGCCTTACTTCTGGCTCCTCCAAATTTATAGACCTCTCACATTGCACAGCTGAATAAACTGAACAAAGGTATTTATCTTCACATACCCAGTTATGTTCTGCACAGGAATTAAACACACAGGAAAGTATAGGAAATAAAAACACACACACTACATTCTTCTGCTCCAATGAATGGCAGCCCCTTCTGGGGAAAGGACATAATTTTTGATGGCATGAAATAACCTTGAAGATGGGAAAGGTAGGGTGTGTAACACAGGGAGGAGGGCAGAGTGGTTCCAGGAACAAACATAACACTCCAGACCCCAAGAGACCATAAGTAGACTTGACACCATCTCTACTTCCAAGGGCCTAGAAAAACTCCCATGGTTCCCATAAGAAATCCTGGCATTGCATCGCTATCACTACACCATAAGCTTACCTTCCCCATTCCTAGCCATCTCCAAAGCACTCACCCACTAAGGAAGACTTTCTCTGCTGAGGAGAGCACATTTTTGTAGATCCCAGTAGAGTGGTACACAAGGTCATTGCAGGAGTGATGCTGGGGCCTGGCACAAAACCAGTGCTCCCCAGTGCCAGGATCCACGTACTGGCAGGTTGGGCCTGAGACTGGATGCACGTTGCATTCAGTCACTTCTTCTTTGCTCCCCTGGCCTGGGTCCACAAAGTAGCCCCTGAAAGTGACTGTGGAGGGATGGGAGTCACGGATGCGCCGAAGGAGGGCCACAGTCTCACTGGAGTAGATGAGACACACAGACACCTTCACCGCACCTGCCCACAGAAGCGGGAAAGTCAATGTGTAGGTGCCATTCTTGTGGTCCTCCACTGTCCCTGCCACACTCGCCTTCAGCTCTGGGGAATGCAATTTGGCCCTCAAGAAGTCTCCGCCGTAGTGCTTTGGCTGCCCACTCTGGTCCCGGGCCTCCAGCGACACCAGGAGCATGTTACCCACTGTGTAGTTGCTCTGGGACTGCAAGAGTCGGTAGTGGCTCTTCTCAGCACTGGTGGAGGAAGCAAAGGCTGCAGCATTCTCAGGTGGAGCAGGCCAATGGATCAGCTGGAGCAGTGCCTGCAGTTCTGGAGACTCCATAAAGGGATCCGGGAGTGACTTGGCACCCACAGGGGATGGAGGCACATGTTTGTCTCTGAAGTGGTCAAAGGACAGGAACCAGTAGATCATCTGGAGAGTCAGAATAAGACAAAAAAAGAAATCGGGTCTTAGTAATGCTGATAATCTCTCATGTTTATGACCCGATATAAATGTGATATAAGTATGAACTAATAATATTGCATGTTTATTTCAAATGGCTGCCTCTCCCTCTCTGCTTTTTCCACCCCCCTCTCACTCCTTTTCTCTTTAGTTGCCCTTTTTCTTAACTGAAACATGTCACAAAGGCTTAAGCTCTTCGTTGAAGGGAAGGTGTTTCAGTTCCTTATCATTTGATGTATTTGCCTCCCATCCTACACTGGGGGGGTGGGGGTGAAGGCACGAACTAGAGCTGTATGCAGAGCTTAATGAGACTGTGGATGGATCTACACATCGGGGGGGGGGAGAATGCTATAAATAAGTCAGAAATTAAATTGTTATAACAAAAGAGAAAAGCCTTGTGTTATGGAGCTGGTGAGCACTCATATCCCAACAGAGAACGCTATAAATAAGTCAGAAATTAAATTGTTATAACAAAAGAGAAAAGCCTTGTGTTGTGGAAAATCACATACAAAAATTTATAACACATTCAAATTGTTGTTTCTTTACTAATGTAGCTGAGTCCTGTCCAACAGATTTACCAGTATATACAGTGGTACCTCGGGTTAAGAACTTAATTCGTTCTGGAGGTCTGTTCTTAATCTGAAACCTGAGGTACCCCTTTAGCTAATGGGGCCCCCCGCTGCTGCCCTGCTGCTGCTGCCGCCGCCGCCGCTACCACACAATTTCTGTTCTCATCCTGTAGCAAAGTTCTTAACCTGAGGTACTATTTCTGGGTTAGCGGAGTCTGTAACCTGAAGCATCTGTAACCCGAGGTACCACTGTAAAGGCATTATACTGGCTGAGTTTCAAGTCTGGCAGCAAAAATAACTGAATCTCCCCGGTACAGCTTCTTCAAAGACTCTGATTGTCAGAACAGTGGGGTGAAGCCAGGACTGCCACCTACCCACAGCCTGCTCTAAGGGGAGCTGGGCTTATGTGCCTGCAAGAGTATCATATGGAGTAAACTATTCTGAGACAGCTACAAAATGAATTCTGCTTTACATTCAGCTCTCAGGAGTTCCAGGAATTATCCACCACACACACTTTGAAAAGTAATAAAGGATGGGCCACAGGTAGTTATAATTCATGAGGAATATCATCCTCTGAGAAGGAGCTAGCAAGAGCTAGCAGGACGAGGCAGAGGGGCCCAGCTCCAAGAAGGGCGAGGAGGTAGAAGGGAAGCAAGACCTGCAACTATCTGGTCTGGAGGGAGATTGGCATAAACATGCACACATGCACACACTAGCCAGTATGGGTTTGTTTGTGTGTCTGTGCGAGGTCATTTCCCCATGACAATTTTGTCTCATGTGAGTAATAGTTTTAAGGATGGGTTATTCCCCCCTCCATTTTTATTTTAACTCCTGATTTGGACTTTAGCAGGTCAGAGAGACGTGGGACGGTAGGAGGTAAAGAGAGGGTGGGGACAGGAAGAGAGAAAGAGCATCAAAATTCAAAATGGGACAGGAATTCTGCAGTAAGTATGTTGGCCCCAAAGGAACTGGGTAAAGAAACTCCTGTCTCCTTTGGGGGACCCCGAGAGCCCCAGCCAAAGCACTACCAGGGAGTGGTGAGGGTAGGAATTACCGTAAGCAGCAATCCAACTTCTTTCTGCCCTCCAGGCGTCAAGCCTTTTTGCCCAAGGAATTTGCATTCACTTCCTGGTGAAGCAGGCCACCCAAACAGCTAGGAATCAACAATGCAAGAGCAAAATATTTCCCCACTCTTGTTCTCTGAGAAAGGGAATGTACAGAGCTGGTCTACCCATGTCGTGGGAAGAAGCACCCACCTGGTGGAAGTTCAAGATGTGGCACTGAATCCGCCCACTGCTTCAGCTGTTGAGAAGGAGGCATTCCTGTGTGCAGGTTGCTGACTGGCTCCCCAACACCCAGCAGAGAAGACATGAAAGTGGCAACACTTTGAGGAGGGTCCCATTTCCCACCAAGTTCAGCAAGAGCCAGCACATGGTGGCAGCGGAAGTGGTGCGTGGTGCGTGGTGCATGGTGCGTTGGAAAGCTGGGCTTCTACAGTGCATCAGAAAGTGTTTCACTTCCATTGCAGAATAAAATATACTGCCTTAAGAGTTTTCTAATTTAGCACATTTATTTTATTGCTAGAAAAGAAAGATAAATAGTCTGAAACTGCCAAGCATGATTAATATTGTATTAATTAATATTGTTTTACTATTGTTGCCATTCACATATAATTACTAATGAACATATGAAATGGAAAAAATAAAGCACCGTAATTATTTCAGTTTTGGGAAATTTTCCACCCCATATTACTGGACAGGACACCCTTCAGTGCAGTGACAATCTGCCTTCTCAAACATTATCCAGCAAAACACTTTGCGTGGCGAGTTCCCGCCCCCACCAGGATAAATAAAGACACGAGACACCATAGTTTAAGGTTAAATGGGCGAATTAGGCCACAACTTTATTGAATTCAGGAATGAGAGGCATTGGCTTAGGCATTGGTCCTAACGACTATCCGGCTCCAGCCCATTTGCTGGAGACACGGGGAAGGGTTAACACTATATCGGGGGAGTCTCCTGCCGAGGCACGTCGACTAGGAGCTCCCCCGGGTCACCGCTCGGGGGCGTGCCTTTGGCCCACACCTCCATAGGCTTCGGACAGGGCCACGCCCCCCGGAGTCCTTTAACGGACCACCCTTCGCTCACTGGGGGGAGGTGATGGCGTTCCCCCCCACATCCTCTTAACCCCTTCTTACCAATGCCTACCGCCACACGAGCAATCACTCGCCGCCAATACTCTCATGCCTGAAACCAATCCCTTACCCCCTTTGCTATATCAGTAAGCCACATGTCATTTCCCCGCATCTGAAAGATGCACGCCATCAAGCCAAATATCATTTCCCGCATCCGAAAGATGCACGCCATCAAGCCGGTAGAGGGCCTCGCAGTTGCCTGGGTGGTCAATGACCCACCCACCCAGGGCTGCCACTCTACGCACCACCGCCCGATCCAAGGCTTTCCTAGCCCTATTTATGGCTATCGGGCACCTGCTCTCTCTCCAAACCCAGCTTTCCATCAACAAGGCCTCAAGAATGGTGATGTTTGGATAAGAGGCCTTAAGTTCCTCAAAGTCACTAAAAATATGCCACATCAAGTCGACTGCCTTTCTGTAAGCTAAATCCTTTTCGCCTAATTGGATAACTAAAGCATCTGGGGGCCCTCCGCTGCCGCTCTGGCCCTAATTGCGGGCAACATTCCGGCCCAGCGCATTCCCCTCCGAGAGATCCAAGATATATTGATGTAGTTAAGGTGCGGCCCGAGACCGGAATTGATGGCGCGGACCCTGGCCCAATGCACAATGCTGTGCCCGATTATCCAGATGCGCGCCCCCATAGTTCCTGCACCCTAGGGTCCCCATTAATGGCATGGTTTCTATCCCAGTGGACAGTGCAGGGCCTATAATCCAAATGTGCACCACAACGTCACCTGAAAGCAAAAGAAGGTAACGAAGCCAGGTCAAGTATACTGTGAACAATCACAAGGTCTTACGAATATATCCCTTAAATGCATGAGACTTCCACTGCCCCCAAGTCCTTCATCCTTTCAGCTGAGAGTCCCAAATGCAGTGCTGTGGTGGCGGCCCCAATCCTAAAGGAGTTAGCCGCGAATTCAGCTGAGGATAAACCGCAGGCGGCAATCTCTCTTTGTATAATGCGCGTGGACTGATGCCGTGCAAGGCGGGAGCCATCCAAATGTATAAGGAATGGACCTGAGACGGTTGGTCTCACATACATGAAATGTTTAGTGTCCTTTACCGCTGATCGGTTTTGGAACATTGGACATGCAGGACTAAATTGGATCTGAACAAGGTCAGGTCTCTCAAACTAACCTCGGGCAGCAGATTCTGGTTGGCCCTTACAAACCACTTCGCCAATGCGCATAGCGCCAAAGGCAATGGAGTATGCAGCTGAAAATAACCGGGCCTTGTCCTCGGACCAACAGATACTTCTTATTTTATTTTATTTTTATTATTTTTATTATTTTTATTTTATTTAATTATTTTGGAATTGGCATAGAATGTCATAAGGGCCTTCTACCATCACTTTTAGGAGGCTGCAGCCTGCGCCAGCCCTACAACAACAACAACAACAACAACAACAACAATAGTAATAATAATAATAATTTATTATTTGTACCCCGCCCATCTGGCTGTGTTTCCCCAGCCACTCTGGGCGGCTTCCATAGAAATCAAACATACACTAAAATATCACACATTAAAAAACTTCCCTGAACAGCAGCCCTACAGTGCCCTTCACACTAAGAAGTCCACGCCAGGGTCTATGGATTAAACAACCTTACAGAAAAAGGGAGATTGCCGCCTACTGGATGTTTAAGAGTCTTTGCTGCACGACCCAGCACCCTCCAATGTACCAAGTATTGCAGAGCTTCAGCCTTGGTAGGAGGTGTGTCAAGCCTAGGATTTTCTAATTTGCCTTGAAGTGTGTCAAGCCTAGCATTTATTCATTTATTTATTTATTTATTTATTATTTATTAATTTATTATTATTATTATTATTATTATTATTATTATTATGCGAAAAGAGGGCGAGCCCCCTCTGCGTCGGCCCTAAATAGGGCAGGTCACGCACCCCCCCCAGCCAGCTGATTGGCTGGCTGGGGGGGCAGACACGGCCGGGATTCCCCTGCTCTCGCGGGGGCTGAAACCAGCCCCCGCTCACGTGGGGGGTGGGCGTGAAGCCCGCAACCCCACCTCCTGGGCAGGCCGGAAGTGGCTTTGCCACAGCAACCAGCATAAATGTGCAAAAGACAGGTCTCAGCTACATTAGTGTTATAACACTGTTACATCAGATGGCATTGTGGAGTCTCATCTTTCGCCAACGTGATTTCCCATTATGAAGTTTTTCTGAAACATTTAAAAAATATTTTTAGACCCAGCCACAGTCCCTGGAGAGGTTGGGGTTATGGGGCCAGATAGGATTCTTACTTTCTTTTGGCAGTACTGAGAAAGACCTCTGTGAGTTAATTACAAATCATATAGGGTACATTTCTAAGGCAGTGAACAGGGATGAAGAGTCCCTCATGCTCCACAAGCTTCTGTTGAGACTTTCAAGAAGGGACCCTAGCTGCACATCTGGCCCATGTCAGAAAGCATGACATGGCTCAGGGGAGTCAAAAGCCCAAGGCTCCACAACCATTACACACAAACTCTTGGGCCACACTGGAGGAGGACTGTAAGCATCTCAGTCCTACCTTTGTCCTTCCACCCCTTCACTCACTCACTCACTCACTCACTCACATGCACATCTCTAAGAATAAATTTTGTTTGCCCCTAAACACACACACACACACATTTCCTAGTGGGGGTTGGTGGTGGTGGGGACACTGGGCACATAAACAGAGAAAAATAATGGGTTTAACAGCAGGCATGGAACTTCAAAACACATCCCACCTGAAAAAAATCCAACATTTCGCTTCAAAATTTATTAGCTCTGATTCTTTTTTTATATACATAGAGGATCTACAAAGAAAGAATAAATTCAACAAGCAGATTTTTAAGTGACCTCCTGGACTCACCCCTCCTATGAATATTAGTCCAAGACAGAGAAGAGGAGTTGGTCTGAGACCCCAATAAGTCTTTGGCATCTGTCCCCGACAATAGAGATACAAAACAGGTACTTCCAAGAGCAAAATCACACTCGTGACTAGAAAGTCAACACACCTACAAGGCAAAATACAAAAGAGTAGGGCAGGGGATGGTCAGTGGACTAAATCTTTTAGAGGCACAGCTACTGAGGCTCGGCTGGGACATGTTTTACTCAGGCTACTCACAGGCCTTATAAGGACTCAGAATCTCTCCTTCCTGTCAAAAGACTTATGAAGAAGGGTAGATAAGTTGCTGCGAATCTGTGATGCCATAAACCTAAGACTACATCAAATCCTGGTAATTGCTTACCACAGTGGAGCATAAACTTACCTCATTGTCTATCTGCATCTTGGAAATGCTTCTTTAAAAGTGGACCTGTCGATGCCATGCCTTAGAGACCCCTTCCACCACACAAATACAGCTATTATGTGCACCTTGGTTCACTGAGCAGTGAGCTGTTTCCAGGGATGCAAGCACTTACCTCGGCTTGATTTCCTTTGGAAGGAGGTCACAGGAAACTTATAGCAATTTGTAATATTTGCATTTTATTTACAAATATAAAGGTTGACCGCAGGTGTAGCTTCAACACACCAACAGATGTCCCAAAAGTCTACTGTTCCCTGAGTAATTTCTTCAAGGAGACAGCCAACCCCCCCAGCTGCTGCTAGCTTTTGCTACTCTCTGACTCTATCTGCCTCTCCAGTTGCCTGCCTAATCTCTCTTTCACAGACAGTCTCCTTGTTTACATCATCCTTGCTTACATCATCCCCAGCTAGAAAATGGAAGAAGAGACATCTCATTTCCAGAAAAGCCTCTGACCACTCCCTGAACAGGAATGGAAAATATGCTGGTACTTAAGAAAAAAGTACACAATTGAACAATATTTTGGGGACAACAAAAATGTCACAAAATCGCAAGAAAGGTTTTGAGCTTTCCAGAACTCATCATCAGGAGAAATATACACACAAAAGTTATTACACAGAGCAGGGAGTGGAGAAGACAGACGGGGGATCTTCAAACAGAAAGCTGAATGTTGTAGCCATAAAATCTACATTTGAACTCTATCTCAAAATGAAGATGGCAGACTGATTGAATTAATCTATGCTACCAGAGAAAAGAAAAACGAGGAAATATTAAATCATATAATTGATAATGAAAAGCAGTTAATAAAGAAACATGGAGCTCGGACAGCCCTGTGATTTTCCACAGATCTGAGGGCAATGAAACAATCGTTGAGACGGCTAGAGCGCCGGTGGCGGATAACTCATTCCGAATCTGACCGGACACAGGTTAGAGCTCAATGTCGAGCCTACCAAGTGGCGGTAGCGACAGCGAAGAAGACTTTCTTCACCGCCTCTACTGCATCTGCAGAAAACAGCAGCAGGAGACTTTTTCAGGTGGTTCGCAATTTAGTGGAACCACCTGCTCCATCGGGGCCCAGCATGGAACACATGATCTCCTGCAATGATTTTGCAAAGTTTTTTGCAGATAAAGTCGCTCAGATTTGGGAAGAGGTAGACTCCACCATGGGAGCAGGGCTGGGGCGGGAGAGTGCTAGAGTCCTGTCTAGTCAAGTTGCGTGGGATCAATTCCAATCTGTTACCTCCGAGGATGTGGACAGGCTGCTTGGACGAGTGAAACCAGCCACCTGTCTCCTTGATCCTTGATCCTTGCCCATCCTGGCTTATAAAAGCTAGCCGGGAAGGTCTGGGCGATGGGCTTCGCGGGGTGGTGGATGCTTCTCTCTGTGAGGGAGCCTTCCCAGACCTGCTGAAAGAGGCAGTTATCAAACCGCTTCTTTAAAAAACCATCTTTAGATGCTGCCAATATGGCCAACTATGACCCAGTTTCAGTTCTTCCATTCTTAGGCAAGGTGATTGAGCGAGTGGTTGCTGAACAACTCCAGGCATGCCTGGAAGAAGTGGACCATTTGGATCCCTTCCAGTCGGGATTCAGGCCTCATCATGGGACTGAAACTGCCTTGGTCGCACTGGTCGATGATCTCCAGCGGACTAGGGGCAAAGGTGAGAGCTGTTTCCTAGTTCTGCTGGATCTCTCAGTGGCTTTTGACACCATCGATCATAACATCCTTCTGGACCGTCTAGAGGGGCTGGGAGCTGGGGCACTGTTATACAGTGGTTCCGCTCCTTCCTCCTGGGCAGTGTTCAGAAAGTGGTGGTGGGGGATGAGTGTTCAGACCCCTGGGCTCTCACTTGTGGGGTGCCTCAGGGTTCTGTCCTCTCTCCCATGCTTTTCAACATCTACATGCAGCCGCTGGGAGAGATCATCAGGGGGGTTGGGCTGCGTGTTCATCAGTATGCAGATGATACCCAGCTCTACCTCTCTTTCAAATCGGAACCAGTGAAGGCGGTGAAGGTCCTGTGTGAGTGTCTGGAGGCGGATGGAGGATGGATGGCAGCTAACAGATTGAGGTTGAATCCTGACAAGACAGAAGTACTGTTTTGGGGGGACAGGAGGCAGGCAGGTGTGGAAGACTCCCTGGTCCTGAATGGGGTAACTGTGCCCCTGAAGGACCAAGTGTGCAGCCTGGGAGTCATTCTGGACTCACAGCTGTCCATGGAGGCACAGGTCAATTCTGTGTTCAGGGCAGTTGTTTATCAGCTCCATCTGGTACGCAAGCCCTACCTGCCCGCGGACTGTCTCGCCAGAGTGGTGCATGCTCTGGTAATCTCTCGCTTGGACTACTGCAATGCACTGCAATGCACTCTGTATGGGGCTATCTTTGAAGGTGACCCGGAATCTACAATTAATCCAGAATGTGGCAGCTAGACTGGTGACGGGGAGCGGCCGCCGAGACCATATAACACCGGTCTTGAAAGACCTACACTGGTTCCCAGTACGTTTCCAAGCACAATTCAAAGTGTTGGTGCTGACCTTTAAAGCCCTAAATGGCCTCGGTCCAGTATACCTGAAGGAGCATCTCCACCTCCATCGTTCTGCCCGGACACTGAGGTCCAGCGCCGAGGGCCTTCTGGCGGTTCCCTTGCTGTGAGAAGCCAAGTTACAGGGAACCAGGCAGAGGGCCTTCTTGGTAGTGGCGCCCGCTCTGTGGAACGCCCTCCCACCAGATGTCAAAGAGAAAAATAACTACCAAACTTTTAGAAGACATCTAAAGGCAGCCCTGTTTAGGGAAGCTTTTAATGTTTAATAGGTTATTGTATTTTAGTGTTTTGTTGGAAGCCGCCCAGAGTGGCTGGGGGGACCCAGCCAGATGGGTGGGGTATAAATAATAAATTATTATTATTATTATTATTATTATTATTATTATTATTATTAACTAGGAAGTATACAAATAAAACAAAATATCAAGATGCTGCAAACCCAATTTTCAATGTTAATTAATCAAGAAGCTGAATGGAAAATAAAAATGCTAAGGCAGAATTTGCTAACAAGCCTGGGAAATTATTAGTTTGGCAATTAAAAAAGAAACAAGGACCAAATACTATTAATGAGTTAAAAATAGAAGATAAAATAATAGAAAATCTGAAGGAGATCAGGAGAAATTTCTTAAGATTTTATAAAGAACTGTACAAAGCAGGAAAATAAAATAAAGAGAAAATAGAAAATTATTTAGAACAGAATAAATTACCGAAGATTCCAAAAGATAGAAAAGATGAGATGCTGGTTAGAAATATTCCACTGAAACACGGCCCCCAAAATAACCAGAATGAACAAAGCATCAGCTGCAATGCTGTAGTAAGATCTTGACCACAATAGGGAATACTGAATCCAAGTTTAAAAAAGCAAGCCCATAATAGGACATAACAGGCGTTACAGAGCCTTGTGTGTTTTGAATTTGGCCAGGTTTATGCTCCTAAAGAGAGGCTTGCTAAATGACCCTCATATTAAGAGAAAAATCACCAGTATCTGAAGACATTCAATATGTTTTCTCTCTCCATTTATGCTCTCCTAAAATACATATGCATTCTTCATTCCTTATGAATCCCATATATTACAGTAATAGAGCTGTCCCAAATATGTCTCCCATAAGGATAGTTTAATATCTATTGAGCTTTATGACAGTAACCCACAGAAAAGTCCTGTTAAGAAAAAAAAATGCATGAGAGGATGAAGTATGAGTAGCAAACATTTCTTCATCTCTCTGGTTTGTTTTCTTATCCTTATATATGGGAATGGAATAGAAAAAGTAATATATTATTGCTGTCTCAAATACACTCCCCTTTTGCTCTGTATGGCTCTCTGCTGTGGGTTCTCTTTGAAGATGCTGATTGCCTACCACAATCATGTTGGCACTGAAGTCTTTGTGGGGAAAAAGCATGAGCACTTTTAGATGAAAATGTTTGGAGGATGGGAGCTGCATGATCTCCACCTTTTCTTTTTGCTTCTCAGCTGAAAGGAAATGGTCTTTTTCTTTTGTTTATTTACCATTGTAGGAATTCTCATCTTCACTTACAGATGTCACAAGCACTGAGATATATTACACAAGAAAGCTGAGCCACACTGTGCAGAGTAACAAGTGCTGTTCTGGTTGCAGCTAAGAGAGCTTTCAAGTGACAGATTTTGCTAGAATAGCAGCTTTGTGTGGGGACTTAGGCTGTGTACACCGCATATATTTCAAGCACATGACTTCCCCTAAATAATCCTAGGAATTGTAGTCTGTTAAGGGTGCTAGTGAGCGGTAAACTGTATTTCCCAGTATTCTTTGGGAGAAGCACTGTGTTTTAAACATATGATGTGCATGCAGACCTAAAGGAGATAAACATAGATGAAGGAAAGGACTTAAGGAGATAAACACCTCTGGTGAATACCAGAAGTGTGCACTACTCTTTTAGAATGTACCATATTGGCCCAAATATAAGCCGCCCCCGAATATAAGCCACAGCTTTAAAATTCAAGGGGTAAAAAGCAAAAAAGACAATACCCGAATATAAGCCGCCCCCTTAAAATTCCGCAGGCACTCACACCTGTTCCGTTTTACCGTATGTTTGTTTCAGCAGTGATATCGTAAAAGCCAATTTTGGTAAGGTCACAGATTTAAGCCACACTTTAACTTTACATGGTCAGAATTTGGGGGGAAAGTGAGGCATATATAC